GAAGCATTCTTTCCCATACAATTAGGACGCGAACTATTAGCCCATTCATCGATCCTCGACTGTCCCGATAGAGTCGATTGGAAGCGATGCTCTTTGCCGGACGACGAGGCCATTGCCATCGCTAACAGAATCCGCAAAGAATTTGAAAGCTTTGATTTCACTCTCCAATAAACATTCATTTATTATAATTTTTACGAAAATGTATCATTTAATTCATTATTAATTGAATAAAAATATGAATATATCTTTATTTTATGTAAATTGTTATTAAATATTGCAATCGATTATTAAATTCATATTTTGTAATGTTATTGTCTGTGATTTTTTCTTCAGTTAATATAGCAAAACTTAAGTCATGCATAAGATTTTGATTAACTTATTAGTTGTACAGTAAGCGATCGATGTTATGAACAGATCGGATTCGGTAATTTGCTTCATAACATCGATTAGATCACTGCATCGATTATAGTTTAACATTAAGTCAATGAGGGTTGGTTTTGCGGTTTAGTTCATAATATCGACAAGTTTACAGCATCTGTGGTTTATAACATTGATTGCGCACTGTAGTCGGAAGTGATAAATAAAATTAAAATATAAATACAAATATGAATTGTGCATACAAACTGTGAGTAAATATTGAGACAATAACAGAAAATAAATTATAATTAAAATTAGTCATAATTAAAATAGACATTGCTATAAAACTTATAGTGTATATAATGTTGAATTTTGCGCCATTTCTTGTTTGCCATAAGAATCTAAATTCTGTGCAAAGAGTATGAGTGAAGAATATATGAGCGAAAGCTTCACTGAATATACTGTACGTCACACCCATTACTTTCATTCACTTTTATCCTCTCATCTACTCATCCATTCTTATATCACATGAATATTAAAGAAAATATTAAATGAAATATTGATTGCAAATTATTAACAAATAAATTCATACAAAATGAGTGACAAGAAAAAGGTTTGCAAGAAATGCATTTAAAAGACTAAATTAAATTAATTTCAATTTTATTTATAGATACAAATGAAGGGTTTGGAAGCGATTGGTTTCGTATCGTTTGTTATACTAATTCTTGTCATATCAATACTGACGACAATAACAAATCTTATAATTATATATAAACTGAAATTACCTTGTTTTTTATTGTTGCTATAACGGTATATAAATTGATCATGCTGTTAAACATTATTTCATAACTAGTGTTTGTCTTCGCATAAAGCGATTCCAAAGTACGACTCTTTGGATGAGTATTCCTCCAGAGTTTGTTTAATAGTTTACATTTAGTATTAATATTCCCGACAATTCATTTGATGAATAGTTATACTTAATTCTACATTATTTAAATACAATATTGATTTTATATACCAATTATTACATTATATATGTAATTATATATAAATATACAAGTATATAATAAGTTATATAAATTGATAATTGCAGTAAAATATAGTAAAACAAAAATGTTAAGAATGCCCATTCAATGACTAATTAATTGATGCTATCTATTAGATAGATATTATTGTAGTATTGTAAACTTTTATTATTTATTTAAACAAATTTATTGTTATTGCTATATTAATACTTCAGATTAATTATGTTACGTAATATTGTAGACCACCGCCCGAATTTATTATTATAATTAAATTTATATAAAACACAAACACAAGTGCTTTCAAAAGAATTTTATTGCTTTATTAAAATGTATAATAATTGATAACAAATAAATATCTCACACAAAATATTCAAATAACATCTACGTTGAGCTCGTTTTAAGGCTAGGAATACAAAATCTTAATTGAATTTGCGTTTAGTTTTTAGAAATTCCTGTTCGAGAAGTGAAATATACATGAATTCAATGGTATCCTTCTCTTTGTGTGTCAAATAAAAAGCTAACATAAAGTTTAAGACACCGATCGCTACGAATCCGTTTCGGTTTCTCTTCAGTGCTTTCCACAGAATATCGTATAAATATTTACGAGAAATGTGATCATTAATGGACTCCGGAGTGGGAAATGTGTTGAAATAATAGGCATAATATATACTGGAAATTGAACTAAAGATAAGCGGATAGACTGTGGAGGAGACGGCTTGGATGAGACCGGCGTTCACACACCGACACGTCTGGCAGTCCTCAATGCCGGTCAACATCGGGGCTGTGATAAGCCTGTAGTGAATGATTGAGCCGAAAAACATGGGCACTAAGACTGCCGGCACATAACAGTTCAATAGAGCCGTCCGGCCGTCAGCCAAACCAAACGCCCGACGGAACCGATGAGTCAAATAGACGCCACTCAAGCCGTTGGCCACCAAAAACACTTTCATCTGATGAGCTAATGGCCAGATCTCCGCCTTATTCTTCCAGTCATCGACGAGTTGTCTGTATTTGAGCCAACTCTGGTCAATGGTGTCCACAATAGATGGGAATCTGTTGATCACTGCCATCTGTTCCGCAGACAATTCATTTGTCGTTAGAGCGAGTGGTGTATTATTGGCCGTCAATTGATCGGCAGTCGGCCTGTATTCAGACGAGATCTGCCCTATCTTTGAGGGCTCGCTCTGGAAGTACTCTTTGAATGGTATTTTCCATTGCATTGTCACTCAATTGTCACCAAATGGTTTCAATGAGAGATGGATTGCATTAAATATGAATTAATTTTACTAAAACTTGTGAATTATTGAAATGTTTTGTTTATGTGTTTGTTATGTAATGAATGCGTGAAAGCAATGCTTTACTGTGTGTTTGTGTTTGTATTGAATGTCCATAAGGTATGTGTCGTTCACTTGACATTCACTTTACTGTTAACTTGAAATCCCATACAAACCTATTATCTCTTTAACAGCCCTTTAAGAGCTCTGATTCACTATAATTACCATTAAATCTATAAATACATAGTTTTTAAGATGAAATTAATTGTTAGATAATTAATAAATACATTTAAAGCGATATAATGTGTTAGTCATAGCACTTAAAGATGTGATTATAACGATTGAAACGATAATAAAAATGGTATTAAATAGACATCATTTGGTGTGCAATATATCTGTCAAAACATCTGGTATTTGAAAAACCATTGAATCCATGAATTGAAGTCATAACTAGTTTTTGACATTTAATTCATTCATCAATTTATACGAAAAACCTGTAAAACGAGTCAATTATTGGCTTATTATTGAAAACAATTTCATTTGTTTGAAAAGTGAGAGTCATTTGATAGCAAAGCGTAAGTCAAGCGATGTTTTGTAATAAATGCCAAAATCAAGTTCACAGTCATTATCACTCATTGCCTGCCTTTCCCTCCCTTTCTAATAGCCAGTGATCACTGATTAGAGCCACTCATCTGAACCACAGATCGTAAACCACTGATAATTAACGGCAGATAATGACGGGAGGAGTGGTGTTCGTGACGGGAGCCGCCGGTTATGTCGGATCTCATTGTGTTCTGGAGCTCCTGAAGAGTGGCTACGATGTGGTCGGTGTCGACAACTGCAGCAACGCTGTCATCGACGATGAGACCAATGGTTTGGTCACAAATGGCAACAAACAAACCGGTCATCCGTTGCCCGAAAGTTTGCGACGAGTGGAACAGATTGTGGGCAAGAAATTGAAGAGCTTTTATAAAGTGGACATTTGCGACGAGAAGACAATCGATGGCATATTTGCTGCCAACAAGTTTGACGCTGTCATCCATTTTGCCGCTCTTAAGGCGGTGGGAGAGTCGTGTCAAATACCTCTGGCCTACTATCGCAATAACGTCGGCGGAACCGTCACTTTGTTGGACATTATGAAGAGGAATGGAGTGAAGAAATTCATATTCTCGTCGTCGGCCACTGTTTACGGCACCGCAGAGTATCTGCCGATCGATGAAAAACATCCGACGGGAAGGAACTGTACGAACCCATACGGAAAGACCAAATATTTCATCGAAGAAGTACTTAAAGATCTGAGCGTTTCGGAGAAGGGATGGTCTATAGCTTCGTTGCGTTACTTTAATCCCGTCGGCGCTCACGAGTCCGGAGAGATTGGCGAAGACCCGCAGGGAGTGCCCAACAATTTGATGCCTTATTTATGTCAAGTGGCGGTTCAGCGCAGACCGTATCTCAACGTTTTCGGCAACGACTTTAAGACAACGGATGGTACGGGTGTTCGCGATTACATCCACATAATGGATTTGGCCCGGGGACATGTGGTCACTCTGAGCAAAATGCTCGAACAAAACTGGAACGGTTGGCATGTCTTCAATCTGGGCGCCGGTCGCGGCTATTCTGTTCTCGATGTAATTAATGCCAATACTTTATTTTATTAACCATTAACTCAATGGCATTGCTATCCATTTCAGGTGATCCATGCGTTTGAAGAGTCGACTGGCGCTAGAGTTCCCTATAAGATAGTGGACAGACGATTGGGAGACATCGATGAACTCTGGGCTGATGTCCAGAAAGCTAACGATAAACTCAATTGGAAGGCAGAACTGACACTGAAAGACATGTGCGCTCACAGCTGGAAATGGCAGTCTAAGAATCCAATGGGATATCAAACCTGTGAAGTAATCCCTAAAAAGAATGGCACTTCAAATGGACAGTCGACTAATGGCATCAATGGGAACGGTATTAAGACACTGAACGGCAATAAAAACTAAATGTTTACATGTATTTAAGCACTCGTTTTACATTATGAGCACAATTTTTTGGCAATTTTTTCATGTTTATTCACTTTAAAACTAGTCCTTAATTTTTGATTATTTATTTTAATTTATTTCGCTATTTATTCACACCTACTCTTTGCCACAATACTATATTACAATATTTATTAATTACTTGTTATTTTAAAATATTTAAAATATGTTTAGAAATGGTTTCAATCACTCAATGAATGTGCAAAAAAAGTTGTATTTTGTTAGCGCTTTAAGAAATGTTGTGTTTTCTAATGGAAATAAATGTATAATTCGTATAATTAATTGTTTAAATTAAATTTTATTTCTCGTAAATTCTTTTGTTTAAAATATTTAAAGCCAAATGTGGAGAGAGTGTCGAGATATGCATCTCTTTGAGAGCGACCTTCGAGTCGGTGTTGTTATCGCTGTGACTGAGAATGTCTTTGAGGAGCAGATAAGTGCCTCTTTCGAGGTTCAGTAATTTGAGGGCTTCGGTGAGTGAAGCGAAGTGTGGTTTAGGTCTTGATATATAAAGTCTGAACAGAGATAGAAAGCCAACCGATATGTCGTAATCCATTTGTTTGGCACCAAATTCATTGAACGTATTCTTTTGAACCACATCTTCGAGTAATATCGCGTTTATTTGATCCGCCATTTCATGCAATATAATGTCGAACAATGAGTTCGACAAAGACTTCTGCAACGATACTAAGTTTGCGGACACAAAGTGCAACACTTGCGAAGCACTAGAGCTCAGACAGTTGTCCATCGATTTAAGGCAAAACCATTTGATTGATTGATAGGTTTGTAATTGACTCCGAAATTCACTGATAAACGAGTTCTTGATTTGAGAAATAAATTCGTTTAAAACGTGTTGAAAGAGACCTATAATTGGGTCGAAAACTGTCTCATTGGGTGAATATGTTTCCGATATTTGGACAAAAAAGGGCAATATTTTCCATTCATTTAAAACAACAATCAAATAATTAAATGTATTAATGATTGCGAAGTATTGTTGAGAGTAAGGCCACGACTGATCGCTGGTATGAATCAATTGAATGAGTCGTAAACGAAAGTCATCTAATATTTCGAGCTGTAATTTCACGAATGAATACTTCAACGACTCGCTGGTGAAGAGTGAGCACCGGTTGGTTATGGACTGAAGCATGAGTACGAAGTTGTCTCCGCACTCGCATATCATCAACTCATCCATGCCTTCGGGTCCGCACATCTCATTCCACGCGCTCTTCGACTCGACAATGAATTCCATAAATTCTGCCGATTTCTTCTTCTCCAGAGTTATGATTCTCGTGAAGAATGGCTCACAAGAGAAGACATTCATTAGATTACAATTGGCATAGATTTCAAATATATTCGGCTCAATGTCTAACAGTTCTCGGCTAAAGACTAGCACTTCATCGACGGTATGAGTGAAGAGTTTGTCGTCAAAGACAAGTGAAGGCAAATCGTGTTTTAGTTTAATTGTAAGGCATTTAAGTAATCCAGAAATCAATTGAAATTTCGATGGAATTAATTGGTGTTCATACGAGTGATCCTTCAGAAGTGGATCTATTACTTCCGATAAGAAGCCCTCGTTTTGTCGAATCCATACCAAAGTTTGCGATAAATACCATTCGGGCTAAACATTTGGATCAAATCATTAAAGAGTCGATTCAATGCTTAATACAATACCTTTTCAAGTCTATTGAGTTTGCTTTTGGTTTCCATGAAGTGGTAGTTAAACCTCTTCTTAATCGGTGTTAACATCACATCAATGGGCAGAAGAAGGTCTGAATCAAACGTTTGTGACAATCGTTTGAATTGCATATCAATGTTGAATAAAGCGTTAAAATAGACGACAAACGAAGCCATAGTCTCGGCGTTTGAATGATTTTTCTGGTCAAGACTTTTGTGGCTAATTGTGGGCCAATCTATGCCTTCAAATGTAAGGCAAAAGTGTTGTTTCAAAGCATTCAAAACAATTGGTTTCCAAAACATGATTACATCCAATAAATAGGCTTTCATTGAATCGTTTCTATGCTTTTCATCGAAATCTTTGTATTCATTAATCAATTCAGTCATCGATTGTGTAATTAAAGCCACTTTTGTCTCAAAATCTTTGCTATTCTTACTGTTGATGACATTAGTCTCCAAAGTGTTGTGTATTGTCTTAATTGTTGCCAATTTGGCCAACAATTGATCCAATTTGACTAAACTCTCAAATTTGTGCAAAAGTGGCCAAACATTGGCCAAAAGGGCACTCATTTGAGTGATGTGTTGGTCGTAATCATTGCCTATGGTTTGCAAGCGTTTCATACAATGTTTGGCTGAATTAAACTTCACTTCATATGCAGTGATGCTATCATTCAAGTGTTCATTCAATTGATTGTCATTTAAACTTAAATTCACATTCAATTGATTCAATCGACAAATCAATGCCTCGAAGTCAACACTTTTGACACTCATTTTGGTGTTGTTTACACGTCTATAATGTCTACAATGTGTACATGTGTTGTGACATACGGTATGATTGCATAACACATGTGTTGTACAAACTGTAAGTTGTGTTGAGGTGTGTGTGTAGTGAAGGTAATGGTAAGTGTGTGTGAAAATGGCGTCAACGCCACCATAGCTCAGTGGTTAGAGCACTGGTCTCGTAAACCAGGGGTCGTGAGTTCGAACCTCACTGGTGGCTATGCTTTTGCACACAACTACACAACACATGCAGAGCATGTTTACAATTATGACCGCATATTGTAATCATTCTTCACTACCTCTACGCTGTGTTTACGCCTCAATTGAAAGCCCTTTGCATTCACTTTCATTTGGTTTATGTTTTATCCCTTTTATTGGCCAATAGTTTGAATCAATTTTACTTTGATTTGAGTGTTGTTTTTGTGTTGCACTCATAAGATGTCAAACTATGGTATTGTCGAGTATTTTGGATCCAATGAAGACTCTTATAGTTGTGGTTATTGTAAAGAAATGAGAGGAGGAAAGACGGATAGTGGTAAGTATCGCAGCGGTAAGTGTGGGCACAGTTGGCTATAAGTGCTTATAATGATTGTATGTCTTGATGTGTTGGATGTGTTGACAGGGATGTGGGCGCACAGACTCTCTAACACTAATTACCAGAACCTGATTGACCGCAATTGGCGACGAAGTGGTCAATACTGTTATAAACCACGTCTCGAGCGGACCTGTTGTCCGATGTATACAATCAGGTATTTGTTAAACAAGTGACACATTTATTGTCTGTAATAATTAAGTCACTTCTCGGATATCTTCAGATGCGATGCCATTAACTTTAAACTAAGAAAATCACAAAAGAAAGTGATTAAGAAATTTAATCGATTTATTATAAGCGGCGAAAAGCAGAGTAAGAGATGTGAAAGTGATTTACAAACAATGGATCCGATGGACGATCGGCCAGAAGTGAAACCACTTTTAAATGAAAGCGATTCGACCAAAGAGTTCAAACTAAGTGCCCAAACAAATACAGAGTCTTCAACCCAACAGATTGTCGACATTGAATCCAATACTAATGATAAGGCCATGAATTGTGACCAAAAGAGTGATATCAAAGTGATGGACAAAAATAGACGAAAAGCTAAAACTATTAGAAAAGAGCGTAAATTACAGAAAATTATGAAAAACAAAAATTGTGATGAAGTGAAAGGACTGGAGTTCATGAATGAGTGCCATAAAAAGAAAGTGATTAATAGAGATAAAACTAAATCACTTGAAGATTATTTAAATGCAATTGAGAATAATTTGAACGCAAAACATAAACTTAAGGTAATTTTTGTTTATGAAATGTAAACGCAAAGTGTTTATAACTTTAGCCATTTATAGATAAAGTTTGTGTCGACAACTAATGAAGAATACAAAGAGACTTTCAATGAAACCCATGAGATATATCGTAAATATCAGATGAAAATACACGGCGACTCCATTGACAAATGCACTCAAAAACAATTTAAAAGATTTCTTATAGATTCTCCGCTTGAGGTTTACATTCAAATTAATTTAGTCTTTGATTAAACGATTTAATTAGTGTATAATTTTATAGATCGAAAAATGTAAAACAAATGATGATTTGCCTAAGAATTACGGATCCTTTCATCAACAGTATTGGTTGGACAACAAAAATTAATTTAGTCTTTGATTAAACGATTTAATTAGTGTATAATTTTATAGATCGAAAAATGTAAAACAAATGATGATTTGCCTAAGAATTACGGATCCTTTCATCAACAGTATTGGTTGGACAACAAACTGATAGCTGTTGGAGTCATCGATATATTACCCTATTGTTTGTCATCTGTTTATCTCTATTACGATCCCGACTATGACTTTCTATCTCTCGGAACGTATTCTGCCTTAAGGTTCAAAGAAAGTGCTATTAAAATAAAGTTTCAAAATTAATTTATGTTATTTTACAGAGAAATATATTTGGTTCGAAGATTACAACAATATTTGCCACAACTTAAGTACTATTATATGGGATTTTATATCCATTCGTGTCGTAAAATGAGATATAAGGTAAACATTGAAACACCAATAACTTCTATAATCTATTGAAATACCGGTAAAATCCCAGTAAAATCAGGTAGCCTAGACAACACGCCGCTTTGGAAAAGCACCGTAGGTTAGCTTCGTACACAAGGCTTCAATCTCGAGAGTTTTATATCAGCAAAACTTCTCAATCCAAATGCAATCGATAGCGACTCTCAGTCTATAACGGATGCAGAGATCAAGATTCTGCACAACAGGACTGACATGTCATTCCTCTACTATAAGTCGGTTAGTGTTGTCGACGACAACGAAGAGAAACAGATCAGAGAGTATGCGAAACTGATTGGAAGAAAGTGTTCAAACAAAATACTACTCTATCGTCAATGAATGGCATTTCCTATAATATTGGCTTTCAATCCAACTTTACATTTAAAACCTATTTTTAAAAGTCTTGAGAATTAGTAAATGTTTGTTTGCTTTTTACTACATTTGCTAAAAATATCACTAATAGTAAATGTTTAACTTATTTAAATATCATTTGAATTTTTAAATTATTATTGTTTTTATTGTTAGTTTTTCATTGGTTTTTAATTATTGTTTCTTTTAAAGCATGAATTATTTTATTAAAAAATCAATTTATAATACTTTAAGTTAGAGCCCTTAAACACTCAACAAAATTTAATTAATTAATTAATTATAATAATTATTACAATTGATTATTTAATTAATAATTTGTATCATTTTTCAAAACTCAAAGTTTGCGTAATTTGTTGTTATGTTATAAATGTTTTGAAAATAAAAATTCAACACATTTTCAAAAGTGTGAAAACGTTTTATTAAATTGGATTTGTTTAAGACATTTGATCCAAATTGTCTCATATGTGGTGATGTCTTCGGAAGCGCTCAAGATATTAGTTTGCGGTGATGTGAGCGGTAAATACCGACAGTTGTTCGCGCGGATCAATCAAGTGATGAAAAAGTCGGGCGCTTTTGATCTGGTGTTATGTGTGGGTGAGTTCTTCGGCGTGGACTCCGATGACGAGTACAACGACTTAATACACGGGACAATACCGTTGCCATCGGTTCCCATCTATATATTGGGCACAACTGACGATCGATTGACCAAATACTACAAGAATGAGGACTCGGATAGTGATTACGAGTCGGGCTTTGAACTGATGGACGGAATCACTTATTTGGGCCGAAAAGGCATTCTTACGGGAAGTTCTGGACTAAGAATCGCTTATTTTAGTGGAAAGCAATCAAATGATGGCAAAAGCGATACGAAGAGCACATTTGACACCAAGGATTACGAGTCACTACTTTTATCGCATCAAAGTTCTTCATCGGTGGTCGATATCTTGATGACCAATCAGTGGCCGAAACATATCTTTCGTTACACCGAAGGACACGACAAGCGATTGGAGGATACGAACAGCGAATTGGGCTCTGAATTGGTGACCAAACTATCACTTTTATTGCGTCCGCGCTATCACTTCGTCGCCGGTTATGATTGTTTTTACGAAAGACATCCGTTTCGTAACCACAGAGTATTGGCGGAGTCGGGCCGACACGTGACCCGCTTTGTAGCGGTGGCCGAAGTGGCCAATCAGGCGAAAGAGAAGTGGTTGTATGCGTTTGTCATAACTCCGGCCAAAACTATCGATAAAAATGAATTAATTAAACAACCGATTGATGTGACAGAGAATCCATTCATTGACGTCCAGTTAGAGTCAAGTAATGCAT